AGAGGTCCGATATTGTTCTATGTACAATCCTTGTTTTATTGATTCCATGTAATATTCTAATTTTCTGAGATTGTGGATTTGGGGTTTTCATGAGCTGTAAACCATAATCATCACAATTATGACAAATCACGGCTTGAACTATCTTGCTCTGCATGTAATGAGTCTATCTCATATATTAGTTTCACCTTTTAAGTTGCATTACTGAAATAAATGAACTTTTGCACGATATTCTAATTTTTTGAGTTTTACCTGTAGATATGAAAAAGTAAGATAGATTTTTTTTTTTAAAGAACTCACTGAATTAGATAAAATCTTAACAGGTACTGAAGAGAGGATGATTTTAAAAAATTATGGTTATTTATTAGGAATGAAATTGGAAGAAGTTAAAGAAACAATGATTGCTTGGGGGGAAATTTTGGATATGGGGTAGATTTAGATAAATGGCAGAAACTATGGACTAGAAACTAACAGTGTAAACAGCTTATAAAGAGAATTTGTATAAGATGTTTTACAGATGGCATTTACCCCGCCTCCCCAAGAATAGCAAAGATGTTCAAGGACAACTCGATGAAATGTTGGAAATGTCATCAGATACCTGGATCATATTACCATATGTGGTGGACATGTGCAGAAGCTAAAAGATATTGGACTAAAATACACACATGGTTGGAAAAAATGATAAAACAGCATATAGATTTAAAGCATGGGTTATTTTTATTGGAAATTTTACCTGAAAGTTATAGTAAAGAAATAAAATACTTGATTATTAATGTTTTAACTGCAGCTAGAATTGTATGTGCTCAAAATTGGAAAAGTGAGAAAATTCCAATGGAGGTGGTGGTGATTAATAATGGAATGTGCAGAAATGAGTAGACTAACTTTTGCAATTAGAGAGCAAGAAGAAAAGGAGTATTATAAGATTTGGGATTTCATCAATGGCTAGATAGAAGAGTAAGAAACTGAAGTATATTGTAATAGTAGTGATATATTATAACTGAATATTTTCAAATTAGTTATACTATGAATGTAATTTAGTAAGAATTGAGATTTGTTTTTAAAGATAGCCTGGAATTGAAATTAAAACTTTAATGATAGTATGATGGTATAATATGATAGAGAATGTTGATTAGAATATGAATGTAGTTAAGAGGAAAGGATTATAGATACTGTGCACATGATATATGTTACCAAACTGACACTGTACAATTGAAAGGTTTTATTTGTTGTTTTGTTATAAAAATAAACTTTTTCAAAAAAAAACAACCCACTGACCAGTCTCCCAGTCCCTGCTGCTGAAAAACACCCCACCATGATGCTGCCACCACCATGCTTCACTCTTGGGATGATACTGGGCAGGTGATGAGTGGTGCCTGGTTTCCTCCAGACATGTTTAGAATTGAGGCTAAACAGTTCAATCTTGCTTTCATCAGACCAGAGAATCTTGTTCCTCAGGTGCTTTTTTGCAAACTCCAAGTGGGCTTTCATGTGTTTTGCACTGAGGAGAGGCTTTTTGGTCACCTCTCTTACTAAGGCCCTTCTCTCCTGATTGTTTGACCAGGAGACCAACTCTTGGAAGAGTCCTGGTAGTGCCAAACCTCTTCCACTTGACTTATGGAGGTCACTGTACTATTAGAGACCTTCAGGGAAGCAAAAAAAATATTGTTGCCTTCCCCAGAACTGTGTCTTGCAATAATTCTGAGCTCTGCATACACTTCCTTTGACCTCATGGCTTTTGCTCTGCTCCACTATACATTGTCAGCTGTGAGGCCTCATATAGAGAGGTGTGTGCCTTTCCAAATCATGTCCAATCAATTTAATTTACCACGGGTCAACTCCAATTAAGGTGTAGAAACATGTCAGCAACAATCAAGAGAAATGGGGGGCACCTGAGCTAAATATCAAACGTTAGAATAGATCAAGGGTCTTCAAACTTGGCAAATTTAAGACTTATGGACTTCAAC